CTTTGTAGAAATGAAAAGTAGCCCTTATATGAAACACCACCCATCAGAGAACATCCTAACAAACTTTGAAGTTGAAATCCTATACCAAATCATTATTGGTCAGATTACAATAAATGGCTGTTAGAGAATTTGGGTGGATTTCTGATACTGCATTTTCTGCTAATGATCAACTGTGTTTGCAGGGATGCTGGGTACCTGCCAGACCTGAATGTCACCTTGTCCCCTCTGACACTCAGCTGGACAACAGGAGTCCAGTGTGGCTCCATGGATCCTCTTGTCCCACGTGACAAGCATGGCTTTGCCCAATACGTCCTTAAAAATAGTCTCACATGATTGACTTCTTTGCAAGCTTGAAGGGTTTTCAATATCATCCTGACCATTTTACCGGCCCAGAACCCTTGTTCTCTGTTACTCTTGACTGAGTGTTCCAGTCCTGGACGCTCATTTCTGCTCTGTATTGCTCCTTCTGTTTCACATTTCAACCTCAGTCCTTTTCAAATGAGTCTGGTCTCTGCCACCTGCTGTGGCTCATTCTTTGTCAGAGAGGGAACTACTTCTTTATTACTAACCTGAGCTGTTCTCATGCAGTGTGCTTTCCCTTCCACAGTCCTAACCTTGAAAACAAGTGCCTGTCTCAACAACCTTAAGATTATGAGACCATCCATCCTCAAGTGCATGGTAGTGTTCAGTGAAGTCTATGGGAAATAATAGAAATAAAGTCATGGGTGAGAAAAATTACAGTGTGCTGGAGCAAGAGGCATCCAGTTATCCATAGGTGCTAAATGATGCTAAAGCAACATTTGCTTATTTATATTAATTCAGCCCCTTCACTACTCAGGGGGCCATAAAGCACATTTTGTTCTCAGAGGACTTTGCATATGGAGTGGGAATGGATATAAATGAGATAAGCACTACTCATTTATCCATTTACCAAATAATTATTTATTGAGAACTGTGTTCTGAGGCCAAAGGTTGCAGAGATACAATGGTTTTCTTCCAGCTTTCATGGGACACACACAGTCCACTGGGAACAATAGAAACAAATAGTAATAATGCTATTAGCTCCCTGCAGCAGGAAGCACACTGAGCAATGGGAATGGCTCCCACGGATTTTTATTACAGTCGAAACTCCCAAAGCCTGGGTGACAGACTCTTTAGAACAAGACACAGAGAGTATTACTAAGGTTTGAACCTACAACATCCAAGCTTCTTTTCTTTGTAAAAACAAAGTAAACCCACATCCCTCTAAGTATGTTTGCTTACAAATTCTATCCCTATACCATTGTACTTGTACAATGTCTACATTGTAAAGTATAACTCAGATAGTCATGTAAGACAATGAGCTTTTAAAGATATATAAAGGAAACTTTCAATCCTTTGGGTCACCTTCAATAGCTTGGGAGTAGATACACCCATCTTTGATACCACCAGGCTAATCCAGAATGGAAGTCTCACTACAGCTGGCTACAAATTTGGGTTTAATAAATGTATCCAGATATTTGGCACAACTCACAAGTGATAACTGCAAAAGTAGCATGGAATCATTCAGACATTTTCAGGAGCCTGGTAAACACCATTTGTACAAGACATGATTTCCCTGGAAGAAGTCTATTCAAGAGAAAAAATTAGATTGAAGTTGCTTAGTGAGCATAGAATTAGAACAAATGGAATTGTGGTCTATAGAGATGTTTCATCAAACTGAGATGATAGATCAAACTGCCCTACTCCCCTCTGGGGATATTTCTGCCTGAATAACCAGTGTTGGACCTCAAATAAACACTGATGTGTTTTACTTTTAGCATTCGTTTTTCTAGAATCATTTCAGAAAACTGCCCTTCTGTTGATCTATCAGCATCTCAGGAAATAAGAATATATTTCATTAGATCACAACTTGAAAAAGTTAATTACATTCCTGTCCTGGGGATACAGCCTAAAGAGACAGAATTGCTTTGCTTAAGGCTGAAGAATGGCTGGGGACTTGGATCTTGCAGATGCTTAGGTGTTTAAGGGGCTCTCAGCCACTTAGGATGAGCAGAATCCTTCAGGCCTCAGGTAACTCATCTTTTTCTCCCAGTTCGGGGCTGATGCTTTGCCGGGTAAGAGGGTCTCTCATTTGATGTAGGTTTTCTCAGGAGTCCTGCATCTGTGAGCAGCCAGTTAAGGTGATTGTTTCTGAACTTTTGCCTCCTGTAGGAAGACTGAACTAGAAGGCAGGCTTAAGCCTCCAGGGAGAGGAACTTCAAGGATAGAAAAGATCCTTTCTTCTCCAGTATTATTGTGTCCAAGACTATATCATATTCCTTTTCTGAAAAAGACTAACCTACTTTTCTACTACTGACACCTGTGAGTTTGCAGTTAAATAACAGTTTAAAATTCTACTAAAACTTTCAGGGATATCTTGAGAACAGTCAGTCCCTATGACTTTACCATGATTGTTTTTATCTTAAATGAGACATATACAAAGATCTTTTACACTGACTTACTGATTGTGCATGAGCTGCTAAAATAATTAATGGTGAGGCCATTAGACTCAGTCAGCTGCAGAGTCTAAGGAGATAGTACAAACAACTTTATGTCCATGAATTAAACAACATAGCTGAAATACAGAAATTCCTTGGGCACCAAAACCCAATTTGATGTAACTAGTGAGATGAAACTTAAGTTTCATCAATTCAAAACCACCAGCTAATTTCTAACCAGGGACTTCCCACATTTATCAATCAAATACAGTCAGCCTTCCAGAGCCTCATGTTCTGTGTCCATGGATTCAACAACTCCCAATAAAAATATTCTTTAAAATTGCATCAGTTCAGAACATATACAAACATTTTTTCTGTTATTCCCTAGCCAATACAGTATAGCAGCTGTTTCCTTTCCATTCGCATTGTATTAAATATTATAAGTAATCTACAGGATGATTTAATGGAGACAAGGAACAGGCAAGGTTATATGTAAATATTTCTGCATTTTATATAAGGGACCTGAGCATTCAGACAGTTGATATTTGCTAGGAGTCCTAGAATCACTCTCCATAGAGGAATGACTATTTCCTTTATCTTGTTTTCACATCTTACAAAATTCCCTGTCCTGCCCTCAACTACTGGGGCACTTGCAGCCTGGTTTTACCCAATCCAGGTATTATTAGGGTCACATAAACTGATCAAAAATTTACTGTGCCTATCTATAATGTGTTTATCTTTAAACATTTCATACATGTATCTAGATGTCACTATATCCTATGTATCTGTAAAAACAAATATCACTAATTAAAGATGAAGGTATTTTAATGTATAAGATATTAAAATATTTTTAATTTGAATTTATGGCTTAAGTAGAGTAATAATAATGCAAAGCTACTTTTATTTTAAAATAATGGTTGAATTTAACATTGCACATGTACATGACTCTTATTAAAGGAAGTATGTGGTGTGGGTCTGAATAGAAACTAATGAATTTGCTATGCTCTTTGGACAAAAATATAGCAAGTATTTCTTTAGAAAAACATTTTGGACCTTGTATTAAAACTAACATCTTTAGTTACTGTTTTAAAATATACTCAGCTGCACAGCACCTGCCTGGCAAGTGCAAGATCCTGAATTCAATTCCCAGTACCAAAAAAATAAAACAAAATAAAATATGCTTGGGTAAGTTGGTCTTATGGCATGATAGAAAATACACACAGAAATGTGAGCATTAAAAAGGAATTTCTTCTTTGGAGGTGAAGAAGAGAACTAAATCATGGTCTCCCACTATATTTTTGATCCTTCTGTGCTAATGGAATCTGAGTAATCCAATCTGGTGCTTCTAATTTGTCCTGCCAATTACTGCTCTCCTGGATACACTTATCAAGCAATGAATGGAGAGAGGTGACAGTATCATCTGGTCTTCTCTAAGAGCTCCAGCATAGAAGCTGAGTAGAGTCCCTTGCCTGAGCTCAGCTCATCAGTCTCCATCTACCCCCAAAATACAAATCAGAGCTACACTGGGGTTCCCAAGGAGGAGTTAGTTAGGGAGAAGAGTGTTTTGTTGGCTGGTTGGTTGGTTGGCTGCTTTGGGAGGTTCTTTGGGTTGGTGGTGGTGGTGGTGGTGGTGATGGTGGTAGTTTTTGTTTCAGTGGTATTGAGCCAGGGCGTTTTCACAGAGCTGTATTCTAAGACCTTTTTTAAATTTTCCATTTTTGTTTTTGAGACAGGATCCCACCAAGTTGCCCATGCTAATCTCAAACTAACGGTCCTCCTGTCCCAGCTGAGGACTATTAGGATTATAAGGAGACCCTCTTTTCACATCAACTCTCTACTGGAGCCTAGAGAAGGGAATCAGGAAACTACCCTGGCTCAACCTGGTCACTTCCTGCTTTCTCTCAATCCCCACTTGTTCATGGGTCCCCAGGAGCATTCCTGGAGCACCTGCACCAGGTGTGAGAGCACCTGCTGATGCAAGAGGTTACACAAAGGCAGAGATCAGATCAGTAAGAATCACAAGCAAAATGTCGCAGGCTTCACTTCCCTCATTTATTATCCTTCCATGGGTCTCCATGCTTCTCCTGCAGACCAAAGCCATCAGCACACATGCACAAGCACCAAACAGCTCCCAATCTCCACTTCACACAGAAGCACCAGGGCTTCTCTTCATCTCTATCTCCTGCCATTTACTCCCAAAGTTCCACCAGGACTGTAGGAGCATCAGCAATCAATCTGTAACAAAATATTTTATACAAACTTTACATTGATATTTAATTATACATAAATCTTTCTTGTTAAATTAAAATAATATGCATATAGTGAATGTATTTTGTTTCTTTAATATGCACATCTGTGTAACTTTCAGAAAGTCAACGACAGCTTTGTAGCTTTCTGCAAAAGCCCCTCACAGTAGAAGGAGAGGGATCAAGGTCAGAGGCAAAGCAGGATGATTGAGCTCAAGACATGAATATCTTTCATGTAATCACCCCAATCAAGGTGTAAATTAACAGGATTACTTTCTTTCTTTTCTTCCCACAGGGAATTACTGGAATGCTGCCTCTTTCCCAAACCCATCATCCTACCTGCACTTCTCCACTTTCCAAGGGGAAACCAGCGCTGACATTTCTTTCTACTTCAAGACATTAATCCCCCGGGGAGTGTTTCTTGAAAATCTGGGGAACACAGATTTCATCAAGCTGGAGCTGAAATGTGAGTGTTGAGCGGCACCTTTGTGCCTTCAGGCTGATTCTGGCCGGGATGGTGATGAGGCACCATGTGATGGGAACAAGATGGTCCTTCTGTGTTCCAGGAGCAGTCCTAGGATGCAAACTCGAGCTTGGTCCTTGGGTTGCTCTCAAAGACTAAGAGATAGTTCCAGGCAGAGATGCCCATTCCAGATGCTCAGGGGAAATTATACTACCCCAATTCAGGGGAAGATGATAGACAGAAGGTTCTTCTTCTGATGTGATTGTTTTTCAAGAAGACAGATCACAAATAGAGGAGTGTGAAAAGTGATCTGAGAAGCCGGAAAGGGGAAAGGGATAACATAAAGGAAAACAGAATCATAAACAGTAATATTTGCCTGACAGAGGCAGCTCTGAGACCAGTTATCAGATGAAATGCTGACTGTGCAGTCTTCCCAAAGAGGCCCCATGCCCACACACTCTGCAAAATTGTGGGTTTCAAATGTGCAATTCCTGCCTTTCCACAGGTTCTTTCATCAGCGAGGAACTTACAGTCCACCAGGTGAAGAGAGTGTTTACACACACAGGGCTCTCCTGGCTGTTTAGACAGTGCTGTGCCCTGTGTCCCCACCACAAAATCTGGGCACTCTGCTAAGTATGTCCAAAAACAGCCTTTCCTGCAGTGACCCCTATGCTACCGGGTCTGGTCCAGAGATGATCCCAAATCCAGTTCTTAACATTATTCAATAGGCTGTTTTTCTGCTTTTGTGCTTAGAATTATGCAATATAATATTAAAAGAAGAATACCCAAGATAAACATCTTGCTGATTAAATTATACCTGCTCTCTTCTCTCTTTCTTTTCTCTCTGGCTCTCTCTCTCTCTCTCTCTCTCTCTCTCTCTCTCTCTCTCTCTCTCTCAGTGGTTTACTGTCATGAAGCAAGACAAGGATTTTGGAGTTAGCATGCTCAATTCACATCCAAATTTTGGGTGAATTTGGGTGAATTGCTTAAGTTCTTTGAATGTCAATTTCTGATACAGTAAAATGGGGGTGTTAATTTGTGGGGGTTGTTGTGAGCATAAAATGTAGCTAATGAAGCACTCGATTCAGTTTTTATTAGGTACTGTAAATAATTACCTTCCCAAGGCTACTCATTAGAGATCTGATCTGAGCCAGATTTGACCAAAAGGGAGACTGAGAATATTCTTGCCCTAGAATTAAACCTAATTAATTAAAATTCTTAACTAAATTATGAATTAGAATTATTTAAAAGGGATTTTCATTTTTTAATTGAATCAAACTAGAAAGCTTTTCCATTTGTCGGCTCACATTTTAGAAATAGTTCATGGCCAGAAAAGAAAATTGATGATTCCATATTTGAGTAATTTTGTAAGTTTTTATAAAATTACTTGGATTTCTCCTCTTTACTTTTCATCTCCTGTTTTGTAAATCTATGCCTGGAAGGGAGAAAAGGAAAACTCAGATCCAGACAGGACAGGTCTTTCTCCTTAGCACCCACATCAAAGACTTTGTTCACTCATTTCTGATTAAGAAAAGTGATGTTTTCAAAGGCTGCTAGGTCTTTTCCATAGTGTGACAATTCTGTGACACAGAGCAGTCACTGGACAGAATCTGAGGAAGTTCCCGAACCAAAACCTGCCCTACCAGCAGGAAAACTTCACATGCAGGGTGAATGCTTCTCATTACTAGTAAGAGATATAAAGGATTTATTAGGAAAAATTCAAAAGTACACACACGAAAAACAGAATGCAGCCCTTCAAGAAAGCATTATTTGCTGGAAGTTGGATGATTTATGTTCCTCTTGAGGGGGTGGAAACTCTAAGAAAAAATGGCCCACTGTACTCCCATAAGTATACTCGGCCTATACAGATTACAGATACGGGCCCATTTTAAAAGTTTTCATTAGTATATGTGTTTATTGATGAATGATGTTTGCAGTACTTGTGTGAAGTTGGTGCATTTACCTAACACGTCTTAACTCCTTTTTTCATGCCCTTTCCTTCCTCTCCCTCCCACCCCCACCTCTTCAACCCCTCCCCCTTTGAGAAAGATCTATATCCCTACTCTCTCAACTTTCTTTTATTTTGCTCTTTGTTTGACGTGGGTTTCTCCTTGTGCTATTTAAATCTTTGTATCTGAGTTACTGCACCCACATTACAGCCTCAAGGTGCATATAATTTCCTACAAAAAATTCAAAATTCTCTCAATCTATTCTGTTATCTTAGGATTAGTTTCCTGCTCTTTATTTCCTCACTTAAGCCAATTTATGGACATACAGTATTCTTGCAAAATTTGGGGTGTGCTGGATCAGAGACCCAATCTAAACTACCAGCCTAATCTAATGAAAGGAACACAGCTATGGATCACCTTGGGGAACTTCAACTGGGCCCCAGAAGTTATAGTTTTCTTAAAAGTAACATTTTCAGTTATGATTTCCTTGTCTCCTTTTCTACCTATCTTTATTTTTTTTCTATCCTGTCTCAGGGTGAAATACTACAGGCTTTTTCTTGTTACATCATTTATTTTTTTTGTTGCATAGTTTTCTTTTGGTGAAGGCTCATGGGACATTCAAAGCACAGATTTGAGGCTGGTCTCTCCCCAAAGACCCTTTTTACATCCCTCCTTAAAATCCCCACATGGCAGATATCAGACAGCCAGCATCTTATGGCATTGCCATGCGGTCAAAGCAACCCACTTGTGGAAGAGATGAGACAGATGTCTGTATTCAAAGAAACCTCCTCAAAGTAAAGGAGAAAAAGATACACAACTATACTATACTGTTAGATCAACAAAAAACACAGTGTGTGTTTTTAGTTATTGTTTGATCATTTTTTCATGCTTGCATCTTATAATGTGAACAACTACTCTGAAGATAACAATACATAATATATTAACCATTGTTAACCTCCTATTATTTTGTTTTGAAATTCTGTACCATTTTTATTCTTTTTCAGCTTTAAAATTTAAAAATAAACAAACAAACAAAAAATAAACAAAGTGTTTGGTGAGGGAAAAAAGTGGCACTTTCATGAAGATATAAGCCCTTCAGAGAAACTACTCACAAATTGATTAAGCAACAAAAAGGGTATATAAACATAGAGTCTTGAATGCCGGGGTCTTGCCAAATTCAAATGAGTTTCGAAAGCTAAAACCACAAGAGAGAAGGAAGATAATGCCAGATGTTTGTCAAGAATTTAGCTCACATTAGACAGGACAGCAAGACATCCTGTTAGAGAGGGTCTGGCATTTCTTTGTTTTGCTTTGGGGTATTGGGGATTGACCCTGGGGCCTGTGTACTGAGCTACATGTCCAACCTCTCCTTTTTCTTTTATTTCTTTTCTTTTTTTAAAGTGTTTTTGTTTTATTTTATGTTTTGGGTTTTTTGTTGTTTTTGCTTTTTCTCTTGTTTTTAGATGGGATCTCACTAAATTGCTAAAATGCCCAGGCTGGGCTTGAATTTGAGATCCTGCTGCTTTCCAGAGTGCTGGGATTATAGGCATGTACCACCATGGCCAGCAGGCACTGGGCATTTTAAATAATACATGTAAAACATTCTTGGAGAAGAAGAGAGAGAGAGAGAGAGAGAAAGGTAAAAACAAACTCTTCCATCTATTAGGACTTTGGTGTGAGATAACCCAAATGGCAGTTAATAGGGATGGAACATTCCACTCTTAGGAGGCATTACAGAACCCCAGCTCTCAGCACCTGAGCTGAGCATATATAGGGGCAATGGATCTAGTGCTGTTTCAACACATACAGTGAAAAGGATGGACATTCCCACAGGCTCACAGATCTGAGAAGCAGGCATGATGAAAGCCAGGTCTCTCATGCCCTCCCTGGCCTATAGTTTGGGGTACCTCAAAATGCCTTGACTTTTGATATCAACTTTTCCACAAAGAACATGGGGATGAACTGTCAGGAGTAAGACCAGGGGCCCCTGCTCTGATCACAGTTCTGTTCCAGCATTCCAATACTGCCCCACTGGGTCTCTGGCATTTGTTTTGTCCTGTGCCCAGCAGTCCCCACACACTTTCCCATTCCCCAGGAAGGCTGCAATCAGAGAACTCCAGAGAAGAGATTTCTTCTCTCAAACTTCTGCAAATTGCCTCTCCCTTTTCTTTCTCTACTTTGTCAGGCTTTCTGATCTCTTTCTGATAGGAATTCAAATTTTGTTTCTTTGCGTGTGTCTCAAAGGAATTGTGCCACAGTGCATGACTTCCTGCTGTTCTCCAGAAGAGCAGCCCTGTTAATTAACTATACTGTGCCCTTCTGTCAAAAGTGGAAAATTCTCGACTCAAGGAACAGGAAGCCTGTGTACAATAAATTAATGAGACGCTATCGACAGCTTATGTGCAAGTAGAAAAGCATGCAAAATAAAAATAGGGCAATCTTATTCATAGATGTACCTTAAAATAAATTTTAACTGTTCTATTTCATTTATTTACCATTAATATTTACTAATTCATTCAGTGAGCACTTACAGTGTCCACTAGGTACTGTGTTGGACACTGAGGGAACATAGTCAAACCTAAAATGGTTTATTTCCTTCTGCATGTTACCTGTTTTGGAAAGATGTCTGTTAATGGGAAAAAAATCAAGTGAATCAGTGGATATAAGGGTGATCAAATAGCTGAGCTTTATGCAGACTTTTGTATGCCAGGCCTTATTCTAAGTACTGTCTCTCCCACCCTCTGGTTTAGGCAGTGCCATTCTCATCCCCAAGTTACACAAGGAAAATGAGGCACAGGGTGGATAACTGGCCCCGACGGGAAGTGCAGAGTGGCTGTCTGATCCCAGCACTTTGTGTCCCAGGATGACAGCTGAGAACACTGACGTACACTGTCTCCAGTGGCAGACAGTGAGAGAGTGGCCTAGAGCGCCAAGGGGAACGTGTAAGCCTGACTAGAGTGACAAGGAATGCTTCCCAGGGGACAGAATGCTTTAATTAAATAGTGATGGATGAGCAGGAATCAGGAATGAAGGAAAGAGAGGAAAGAACAGGGA